TTGTTATGTTGCCCAGACTGGTCTGGAACTCCTGGGCTCAAATGATGCTCCTGCCTCAGGCTCCTGAGTTGCTGGGATAATAGGACTGAGACGCGGATCCTGGATTAAAGGACTCTTCTATCTCCACTTTATCTCTGGGTCTTTGACACGCTCATATGACACCCTGCCTCTGGCTGTTCAATGCTGTAGCTCCCCTCCCCTCCCCTCTTTCCTTCCTCCCTCCCTGCCTGCCTTCCTCTCTCTCTGTCTCCCTCCCTCCCTTCCTTCCTTTTTTTTTTTTTTTTTTGACACAGGGTCTCTCTCTGTTGCCTAGGTTGGAGTGTAGTGGCACAATCACGGCTCACTACAGCCTTAATTTCCCGGGCCTCAGCGATCCTTCCATCTCAGCCTCCTGAGTATCTGCGACTACAAGCACGTGCTACCACACCAAGCTAATGTTTTGTATTTGTTGTAAAGATGAGGTCTCACTATGTTGCCCAGGCTGGTCTCAAACTCTTGGGCTCAAGAGATCCTCCCGCCTCAGTGTCCCAAAGTGCTGGGATTATAGGCATGAGCCACTAGGCCCGGCCGAACTCCGTACTTTCAACCACAACTAAGAATCCATATTTCTAGCCCAGACCTTATTCTCAGCAACACACCTGTGTACACCAACTGCTTAGTTTGCTCCTCTTGGCATCACGACATCTCCAACAAAGCCAGAGTGGAAACCCTCATCTCTTACTCCCACCTTGAGGGGGAGCTCCTGAGATGGAGAACACAGGTCTGTCCAGCCCAGAAGCCAGGAATGCATGCCCTCCGGGGCCAAGCTGCCTCCCTTTGAAAGAATGAAGTCCCGTAAACCCATATCACAGGTTAATAATGCAAAAGGACTGGGCGGGGTAGCTCACGCCTGTGATCCCAGTGACTCAGAGGCTGAGGCAGGAGGATCGCTTGAGCTTGGGAATTGGAGGCTGCCATGAGTTAGATTACGACACTGCACTCTAGCCTGGGTGACAGAGCAAGGCTCTGGTTCTTAGAAAAAACAAAAAAACAAAAAAAAAACGGCTCCAATAAGGTAAACAGCAACAGCAACATACATTAACTCTCCCAGGGGACCAACCCTCCTCATCACCGGATTGCATGACCATGTTAAAATACCGCCACTTGGTGGCGGCATTCTTCGAATGGAAAATAGCATCTGAGATGCTTAAATGACAAAGGCCTGGGCTTCTTCGGGTCAGAGAGTGTCAATTCACACTGAATCGAAGTAGGACTGGACCACAGTCAGCCTACTCTCAGCTTTCCCTTCTTATTCGGGGTCAAAACCAACAGGCGTCTTCCCAAAGCGCCGCACAAGAGTGGGCTCCTTCGTTTTCCTGGAGCAACTCGCTTGCTGGTATCTCAGTCATTGTCAATCAGTCAGTCATTGCAGGGACAGCCATAGACAATTACTCTCGAGCTGGTCCGCCGGTCAATCAGAATCCAATCGAATCCGTTCTTGTGGTCGGTGGATCCACGAGCCTGTACCACCTGCCACCAGCGCCCGGCGCGTTCTGTAGCGGAATCACCGCAGGTGACGGAATCCACGCCCCTGGGCTCCGCCCCTTCGTAGTCGCGCCCAATCACAGATCTGACCCTCCCAGGAGGGCCCGTCCCCCGGCCCACAGCCAGTCACAGGCCCCGTCCTTCCAAAACACTGCCCTATCAGAGGCCAAGCTCTCTAGGAATTACCTACCCTTTTAATGTCCCGCCCCTATGACGGACCCAATCGAAGGGCTCTCCCTCCCCGAAACCCCGCTCCCGGACCGGCGTGTCTCAGGTTTGCGCCACTCTAGGCTGAAGCGGCGGATGACGCAACCGGGCCGCGCCGCGAGAAGGTCACACGGTTCTCCAACATGGCGGCGGCGGCGGCGCTGCGGAGTGGCTGGTGCCGCTGTCCACGGGTGAGCGGCGGTGCGGTGCTGGCAGGGCGGGCTTAGGGGTCTTCTGGGCCTTCGGCCACCAAGGCTTTCTTCTCAGGCCCTTGGCCCTCGCGACCCTTGCTTGGGCTCCGTAGAAAGCTTGGGGTTGGATCGTTGGGTCAGCAGAGGCCAGGACAGGGGGCACAGAGCGTGGCCTGAGGGCGGGGACAGAGCTTACCGGGCAGGGGGCGGCGATGCGCGGAGCCTGGGAGGGAGCTGATCACCCTTCGCCCTCTGATCAGACTCCACGTGTACAGGAGAGTGAATGGTAGCCAGGGCGGCGGCGTCCCGTGGAAAAAAGTAGAGGGGAAGGAAAAAAAACGTGAACTTCACAGCTCTCGGTTAAATGCCAGGTCCGCTACCGAGAGCATTTCTTGTCTCGTTTCTTCTAACGTTCCTTGTGGACGTGCGAGAGGTGGTTCACGCCCTGGCAGGCTCTTAGGTCCACAGGGCAGTGGGAGTCAAGACATGTAAGGCGCACTCAGAAAGTAGTACTTCAAATTGCTCGTGCTCTTCGTTTCTTCTTCTTCTTTTTGTTTATTTT